ATAATACTTTACAAATCAGCATGCCAAATATGAAAGTCCACTGTATCTTTCCATGTTGGGTAAAGCTATTTTTCCTTCCTTCACACCCACCCCACACACATAAAACATGTTTAAGCTGTTTTCTCTATAGATCAATGATACTGAAAAATTTTTTAAATGCCAGGGTAATAGACTTAGCACATGTAGGAAAATTAATTGCACTGTATGACAAGGAGAATCACCTTTTGCAAATGTTGTAAATAAATAGTGCAACAAAAGAGAACTTACCTCATAATTTTGTTTCACTTGCGTAGTGAATATCCTTATATATCCTAAGAATCCTGACACACTAATCAGAAAGAACATATGCACCCCTATGTTTAGCAGCACAATTTACAATAGCTAAGATCTGGAAACAGCCCAAGTGCCCATCAGTAGATGAGTGGATAAAAAAGCTGTGGGATACTACGCAGCTGTAAAGAAGAAGGATCTTGTACCCTTTGGAACAGCATGGATGGACCTGGAGAAAATTATGCTAAGCAAAATAAGCCAGGCAGAGAAAGACAAACATCACATGATCTCACTTATTTGTGGAATCTAAAGAACTTAATAAACTGATGAACAGAAATGATTCAATGACATGGAAGCATAGATCAGACTGATGAATATCAGAGGGCTGGAGGAGGGTGGGTGGGTGGAGGAGAGGGTAACCAAAGAATTTATATGCATATATGCACAACCCAAGGACACGGACAATAGTGGGGAGAGGGACTGGGGAGGGGAAGGGGACGGGGTGGAATGGGTCATTAGGGAGAAAAAAGGACATTTGTAATATTTTAAACAAAAATAAAATAAAATTAATTTTTTTAAAAAAGATACGTTGCTAATAAACATTTCTTGAGCATTCACCTTGTGATGAGCATAATTCTAAGCAATATTTTAGTACAAGTGACAGTCACTTATTTCAAAGTGTCCCATTACTTTTATCTGAATATCTTAGCCTTTCTTTTTTTTTGCATTTTTTAATTGTTCAAAATATTACAGATGTCCTCTTTTTCCCCCATTGACCCCTTCCAGCCTGCACCCACTCCCCACCTGAGGCCTCCACCACACTATAGTCTGTGTCCATGGGTTATGATTAGCCTTATTTTTATCCATTCAACCTCCAAGTAGCACCTAGTTGGATAAAACACTCCACAGATTTTGATGCCCAATGTAATTCCTACTTATGCTTTGAGATATTGGCTTTAAGAGATCATGAAGCTGAACATTTAGGGACACCCACTTCTTAAATACTTAGCCAATTTCTGTACAACTAGGACTGAAATACAAAGCAGAACTGAACACACACTTCTCTGGGTCTCTCTCTCTCTGTTCTACCCAACGGGAGGAGAAAATGGCTACACTAAAGAGTCAGGCAGCCCATTATTTCCAATAGGTACAGGACTAGGTTGGGTGTCCAAAAGATGTCTTTATTCATAATTTTAAAAAATTACTTTTGGATTTTTCCAATCATTTTGTACTGTACTTACAGATCTTGCAGGAAATGCAATTACAGCTAGATTATGAGTTCCAACTGGCATGATTTAAAATCCAATATGTTTTTGTTTTATATAAATTTACTTAAAAAGCATTTGGTGATGACTTCTGGAATGGAATTTATGAGCCTTTACTCTAAATTATTCATCGTTTTGTAGATCACACCTCTTCCACTATGGATACTACATCTTAATTATGATGGAAGTTTATAATTGCAGCAGTCCTTGGAAATCATTTCTCTAAAGGAGATCATTGCAGTAACTGAACATGCATCAAAAACCAAATCTCAGAAAATCTAAATACAATTTGATTTTTTGCCCCCACTGAAGTTGAGCTCAAATGTCTAATGTCCTTTGAATCAGCTGTAAAGAGATTTCCCTTCTGCCATTTCACAAAATTACAAGGCATCCTTTTTAAATAGTCTATTCCTGCTTAGATAGATATTTGTATCTCAGGTGGGTTAAATTGTATTGTAAGATTCTCTCTCTCTCTCTCTCTCTTCCTTCCTTCCTTCCTTCCTTCCTTCCTTCCTTCCTTCCTTCCTTCTTTCTATAACAGAAACATTTTGTGGTTTGGGTGGTATTGGTGAGTTTTGCTTCTTAATATTATTTTATAAAAAGCATCTTTGATTTATTTTTGTGTAATTAATACCAGCTATCTAATTGCCTGATTCATTAAGATTCTTGTTCAAAATATCATAGTTACTCTTGTCAGATTTTGGCAATGCCTCGTGGTGGGTGAGAGTCCTGGTATATGTAACTAGGGATGCAAAGATGATTTTGTTTCCTCCTTACTTCACTGGTCACTCCTTCTGGATCAATAATGCAAGATTAAGTATTTTTCTATTCTTCTCAAACATAGTAATATGAATTCTTGAATCTGCAGACATACAAAAAAGATACAAACTAATATGCACCCCCAACCCATGCAATATTCTGACATATAAAATCAGAGCGACTGGGAATATCTCTAATGTTATTTAAAGGAAGGACAAAAGAATGATTTTTGGAGAATAAATTTGACACAGATAAGTGATACAGAGATAAGTAACAGTGTTGTCAATACTTTCTTTAGCTTTACAAGGAAAACAATATTTAGTTGGCAAGGTTGACAATTTGACTCACCGTAGGAAGGAGAAAGCCAATGAACTGANCTTATGTTTTGTTCTTAATTCACTGTTATTTTTAACAAATTTTGGTGAATAAACCATATGTTGAGAAAGAGCACTATAGTAATTTCGCCAGCATAAGTAAATATTACATATCTACAAATATAGTCTACATATTTAAATCCAAGTGCCACCACTCATAAACAGTGTTCCTCAGATGATTAGCACTTGATCACAGCACATCAAGTACAGTAATTGGTTCTGTTGTCACTTGGTGTGACTTTCTGCAGAAGTTTTAACCTGTGCCAGCTCATGTTCCCACCTGAGCTAAGTCACACCCCAGCCCCAGGCATTTGTTAAGTGGAGATGCCTGGTGAATGCACGCAGTTACTAGACCTAGTCGGTATAAATTTATAATTACAATAATACATATACAAAACTTTTCTGTGAAATGGAACTTCCTTGCCTACTTAATTTTAAGTACATAAACCTGCCTAATAAGTGAAAACAAGTAAACTAACTAATGTGCCAAGCTTTTAACATATTCATTTGGAAAACCTACTTTATTACCTAATGGGCTTTCCCTTTAAGGGACACCCCCTCACCTGAATTAGTCTCTTATATCAACAAGGATTTACTTTGCTATCATTCTCCTAAAACCACATCATAAACACAACTAAACAAAGAACAACAATCACTCCAAACCACATGAAATCTAGTTTAACAGGCGTCCTACAACAAAGGATATAAAGAAGACGCCACTGATACTGGTAAGAGGGCCAGGGACACTGAACAGGCCGGTCCCACACCAACAAGTGTTGGATAAAACTGCCCTAACCTGGTGAAGGGAATAGAATAAAGATCCAGGAGGCACTGAGAGTCCCAAACAAGATGAACCCAAAGAGGCCCACACCAACACACATCATAATCCAAATGCAAAAGGTTGAACACTTAAAAAATCTTAAAAGCAGCAAGAGAAAAGAAATGAGCTCCCACAAGACTGTCAGCTGATTGCTCACCAGAAACTTTGCATGCCAAAGGGATTGGCAAGAAATATTTAGAGTGACTAAAAGCCAAGATTACTCTACCCAGCAAAGCTATCCTTTAGCATTGAAAGATATGTAAATAGCTTCCTGGAAAAGAAAAAGTTAAAAGAGATCATCACCACAGAACCAGTATTACATGAAATGTTCAAGTGTCTTCTTGAAGAAGAGGAAGAAGAAAGATTAAGAATATGAACAATCGAAAGGCACTTAATACATACTTATCAACATCTGACTCCAAAATAAGTAAATAAATGAATATAAAGGAACAGGTGAAACAGAAACAAACTCATTATGATGGTCGTCAGATGGGAGGAGGGTTGGAGGCTTTAGTAAAACAGGTGAAGGGATTAAAAAGTTCAAATTGGTAGTAACAGAATAGCCATGAGGATGTAAAGTACAGCATAGGGAATAGAGTCAATAATATTGTAATAAGTCTGTGTGGTGCTAGATGGGTATGAGGTTTCTCAGGAGAATCACTTGGTCAGTTATAAAGGTCTAATCACTGGGGTATAGTCCTGAATCGAACATAATACTGCATGTCAACTGTCATTGAAAAATAAAAATAATTTAAAATAATAATAAAAACAAAATAGAATTGAAAAGAAAAGCTATACATTAATACTTATTCCAAATCAATAGCAAAACAGGCATAAATAGAGACTCCCTCTCAAACATGAGATATTTTCACCTTTCCCTTTGTTTTATATACATATTGTGAAAAGGTTCACACATGTTCATGTATTTACACAACAATTTCATTAATCACTGTGGGTTATTCATCTAGGTTCAATGAGAGTCAGTGTATGACAAATCACCACCGTGTTTTGGTACACCCACAGTCTCACACTGCCTTACAATTTCTTTTGTTTAGATATGTTTATAATGACTTTTAGACAGAGATGGAGAGGGAGAAAGAGATAAGAGAGAAACATGTATTCACCTGCAAAACCCCTACTGGGGATGGGGTCCCCATGTGCCCTGACCAGGAATTGAACAAGTGACCTCTTGGTGCATGGGACGATGCTCGGCCAATTCAGCCACACTGGTCGGGTTGCTTTCCAATTCCTTATGGGAAAATGCATGCAATATTCTGAGTCATGCCTTGAGCCAAACACTAGTCTATTTTTACTCTTATCTTTCTCTTCCCCCTCTACCTTGGCCTGCTCATGACCCCTGCCCAGTCTCTACTCTTCTTTTTGTTTTCTCTTTTAGTGTGCTGCTCTGATGACCCTGCCAGAGAACAGATTCAAAGTCAATGCTGAATACCCAGTGCATAGGGACAAGACAGAACAGTGATGCTAGCCACCCGTCCCATTTTCCTCTCACCAATGGCTGTGTATGGTGGCTCCATAATGGCTGTGAGTGAGGCCTTGGTACATGTGAAGAACACTCTCCTGCCACTTTGGCTGTGGGTGCTTCTATTCCTATATGAATGGCCTTTGGTTGTGAACGCCCATGATCCCGCAGAAGTGGTGATTCCCCTGAGGCATGCCAGCAGCATGCAGCCCCCAGGCTGGCTCACTTACAGCCTGCATTTTGGGGGCCAGAGACACATTGTCCACATGAAAGTTAACAAGCTTTTCTTGTCCAAGAAACTCCCACTGTTCACCTACACAGACCAGGGGGCTCTCCTTGAGGACCAGCCTTTTGTCCAGAATGACTGCTACTACCATGGTTATGTGGAAGGGGACCCAGAATCCCAAGTTGCCCTTAGTACCTGTTTGGGAGGGTTTCAAGGATTATTACAAACAAATGATATTGTTTATGAAATAGAGCCCAAAAGACATTCTAAGACATTTGAGCATCTATTATATAAGATGAACCGAAAAGAGACACAGTTTCCACCCATGAGATGTGGACTCACAGATGAAGAAATAGCACAACAATTGAAATTTCGAGAGAGTGTTAATTTCACTTTGATGCAGAGTGAATATGAAGGCTGGTGGACCCACAAACGGATTCTTGAACTGGCAGTGGTGGTGGACCACAATCGATATCTTCATGACCAAAGTAACACCTCAGTGGTGCAGTATGTAGTATTCCTTGTTGTCAATGAAATAGATAACTTTTTGGATTCACTGGATGTTGATGTGGTTTTAGTGGGAATTGAGGTCTGGACTGAAAAAAACCCCATTACAATAGATACTATAACTGATCTCCTGGATGCATTTGCCACATGGAAGATACTTGGCTTTAATAATCGCTTACCCCATGATGTTGCACATGCTTTTGTAAAGAAACACTATGGTATTACTGTTGGCTTAGCCTATGTTGGAACAGTATGTCACTTTCGTAGTAATTGTGGGGTTGATAGTTTCATGGATGATAATTTTCATAGTTTTGCATATATTGTGTCACATGAGATTGGTCACAATTTGGGTATGCAGCATGATGACAAGACTTGTACATGTGGACATAACCGCTGCATAATGTATCCTGCAAAAGGAAGTGCAACTAGGTTCAGCAACTGCAGTTATGCAGCCTTCATGAACACCATTGCAAGACGAAACTGTATGTACATTTCATCGAATACAGGGAACATCTTCAAATTTACACAGTGTGGGAACAGTGTGGTTGAAGAAGGAGAAGAGTGTGACTGTGGCACTTTAAGTTCGTGTATGAAAGATCCATGCTGTGCGTCTAACTGCACACTCAGACATGGGGCTGCCTGTGCATTTGGACGTTGTTGCAGAGACTGCCAGATTGTGCCAACAGGCGAAGTTTGTAGACCAGAGGAAAATGAATGTGATCTCCCAGAGTGGTGCAATGGGACATCCTACCACTGTCCAGAAGATGTGTATGTGCAGAATGGGAACCCATGCAAGGGCGGTGGCCACTGCTATGAAAAGAGATGCAATAACCGTGAAGAACAGTGTAGGAAAATTTTTGGCAAAGACGCCAAGAGTGCAAATCAGATTTGCTACAGGCAAATGAACACACAAGGTGACCGTTTTGGTAACTGTGGTATCAAGAACGCTGCATATGTAAAATGTGACATCTCAGATATCTTGTGTGGGAGGATTCAGTGTGAAAATGTGACAGAAATTCCCCATCTGAGAGATCATTCTACAGTGCATTGGACTCGCTTCAATGGCATCACCTGCTGGGGTACAGACTACCACTTGGGGATGACCATACCTGACATTGGTGATGTGAAAGATGGTACAGAGTGTGGTACAGAACATATCTGTGTAGAAAGGAAGTGTGTCAATCTGTCATTTCTGTTAACAAATTGTTTACCTAAGACCTGCAATATGAATGGGGTCTGCAACAACAGAGACCACTGCCATTGCCACTATGAGTGGGACCCTCCCTTCTGCCTGGAAGAAGGCAGTGGAGGTAGTATTGATAGTGGCCCACCCCCTGGGAGAAAACCACAAGGAACAGAAACAGGGGAGGATTACCTGCTACTACTTTGCTTGATTCCTTTTGTTCTTTCATTATGCCTGTTCCTTTTGTGTTGTATGGCATGGAATGAAGCAGATGAGAGTGAAGAGCAGAGTGTGCCTCCTTCACATGAGGGAGAGGAGGAAGATGTGGAGAGTCCATCTTTGGAACAACAAGATGTTCCAATTTCATCTTAAGGAAGAGCAGTGAAATGTTCTTCTGCATTTTAGAAAGAAAAGCAACAGTTTACAATTTCAAAAAGAAAACCCAATCTTATCCAATTTCCCATATACTAAGTTTTAGCCTCCTGGCTGTAGAAATGTTACACAATGTGTCACAGACCACTGACATAATCTGTGACTTTTTGTTCTTTGGGATCATAAAACATTGGCCATTAAACAATTAGCAAAATATCCTAATTCTTAGACTATTTCTACTTTACATTACTTCTTATTTTTGCTTTTCGTTTGTTCCCCCCTTTTTTTGGGTGCCCCTTACCAATTTTCACCATTCTATACTTCAGTTTTCAAACCTGGTAAAATGTTGTTAAAGATCTAGTTGAGGAGCTTGTGTGAAGAGTAAAAGAAATAATACAGTAAAATACTTCTCCAGAGTAACTTCCCAATAAATACTAACCCCTATTATTATTAGAAAACTCACTCTGATTTTCCTGTTCCTGCTCCTTTTGTGCATTTTAGTCTTGTTGATGTTGGTGCTCCAAGATCCCAATACAATCGCCCTACTCTGTCACTCGCTTCTTTCATGTTGACTTGCCTCAGCCTTCCTGATGCCCTGGCCAGGCTCCATTAACTCCCTCACCCTATACCAACGGAAATGCAAGTAAAACTGTGGAAAACAACATCCTGGTGACAGTTATTTTGATTTCAACTTAGATGTATTGAAAATACTATGTCCTCAGATCAGATAGGCTTACCTTCAGTTGCTGAGCGCTCCAGAACCAGGGCCAAATGCACCATCCTCACATTCTCTGTACCTCAGGGCCCAGTGGAATTCAGGCCTAATCATATGATCCCACACTCACACATCCTCATTCTCCTCTGCACTACCCTTAACCTTTCATCCTTGCTTCCCCAGCTCTTCCACTGCACCCTCTGTGATTCAGGATGTTTCCTCAAGTTCCCCAACCCCACATACATTCCCAAAATGCATCCTCTAAAAGTCCCTTGCACCTTCTTGCTCTAGCTGAAACTGAATTGATCCAACACCATTTCACCTACAGCATCCCAGGTGTAGAGGTTTCTCCCCCAACAACCCAAACAGCTCGAGACCTAGGATTGGGTTAGGAGACCCCCTTGTATCTCGTAGATGCTTCCAGACTGCCTTCCCTACTTTCTCCTTCAACGCCCATTCCTCTATGTGTCTTCAGATTTTACCATCTCTTAACCATTCTTTTCACTTTTCATTGACATACCTCTTAGTCACTCCCTCCTTGATTTATAATTTCAATATTTTTTCTGCTGTCTCCCTATCCACCACACTGCCAGTATTAATTCTCAGTGACATTAAAGTACATGTAGATAATCTCTTGGTTCTTGGCCTCATTAGTGTTACATTTTATCCTACCCTCATCTAAGATGCCTGCCCCTATGGCCATCATCAATGACTACACTCCACTAAAATCTTGGTTTAAAAGTCAATAATGTCCTATCCTTCCAACTCACTCTCGTATTTCCACTGCAATAATTTTAGGTTCTCTGTGAAGTCTTCTGTCTATGGACCCTTCCATATTTTTACTTTCCATCACCCTCTTTATTTTTCTCTTCTCCTTCTTTACCCAGTCTACACTCAAAGTAAATACATTAACACTCTAATATTCCCCCAATCCTGTGGTCATAAGCAATGGGTGTCAAAATGAAATATTATTTAGGTGCCCGTGATTCAGCAGTGAAGAAGTGACAGAGCGGGAAAGATAGAGGGGTGAGGAGATCTCATGAACTTATGATTTAAGGAACTTACGTAGGTATCTGTGCTACATGTGTGTGTGATGAGCAAGGGGAAGCAATACAAATAAAAGAATGTTGAGAGGTATAAAGTCATCTGCAGATGACAGAATACAATAATAAGAATGAGAGACTTCTTTGAACAGGTGACATTAGCTATCAAATGTGAATAATGAGCAAAAGAAGGAAAAATGCAAAGTCCTTGCAATGGCATATTAGAGGGGCAGGAAGAAGGTTAGTGGGGTTAGCTGACTAGTGAAAGGGTTAGTGGAGGCCGGATTGGAGAACTGGCCAAGGCTAAGTCCCTGCACTGCAATACAAAGTTGTGGGGGTTTTGCTTTGTTTTGTAAGTTTTTGTTTCTCATTTATTTATTTATTTATTTATTTGTATAATTGGAGCCTATGGGAGAGTTAGTAGTGGTGGAGAGATATGATCTGAATTATTCTTATGATTACCCAAATTACTAAGCTATTCTAAAGAGTAGCCTGAGGCTATTATGGCAAATGGACTGCAGGAGGCAAGAGTGGAGACAGAAAGACCTCAAGGGATCCTGTAGCCATAGTTCACACTAGAGATGGCAGATGTTTGAAATAGGACCATAACATTGGAGATGGTGAAATGAAGTCAGATTCAGAATGTATCTTGAAGTCAACTCTGTGGAACATGGGACTCGCTGATGAATTAGGTGTAAAGGATAATGGAAAGAAAGAAATCCAGACTTCTGCCCTGAGCAGCTAGATTGTTAATGCCCTGTGGGTAGATGCAGTCAAGGAAGATTTGGGCATTTGGCAGAATCCAATGAAGGAGAATAAATTGATTCAGGATAGAGGGGGGTGATTCCAGAAATAAAGTCCTTGATAAGACATCATGGGGATAGAAACCAGAGCTCAAATGAAGTCGATTGCCTCAAGTACACCTCCTTCATTCAAAAAGTTTCCAGTAGAAATGGTGAAAAGATGACACAACTCTCATCTACTTTAATCTAATTTCTCTTCCAGTTCCATGGGGAAGTTCTCAGCTGAGAGTATCGGATACATGGAGAGGGAGGGCGAGATCTGGGGGGAAGAACGTGTGAAATAATCATCTGAGAGTGGAAAATGAATTAATCAGGAAAATGGGGCAATGTCTAGTGATGTTGAGTGCCTGTTTCAGATCTGTCATCAGAAATTTGAAATTAGTTCAGTCACCACTGTTCTGTGTTTTGTTTTGTTTTCCCCTTTGGCCTAATTCAATGGATATGTACCTGTATGGAATAAAGACATATTTGGGTTTAAATGAGGTATACTTTCCATTATTTTAAATTATGTTAGTGTTTAATTGTTCATGGAATTTGTCTCTGTGTTTCCTGAGCGAAGGTCCAGCTAATGGATAATGTGTATTTGTGTGCTTTTAATTTGCTGTTTCAATTTTAACCATCCTTGCCATTTGTACTCTGCTTTGTCACACAGGAAATGCAAACATACAAATTAAATTTCTCCTTTCCCAGTCCTCTCATTACTAGTTTCTTCAATAACTGGCAACTTGAGGGGGACTGGAAACCTAGGAAGTGTTTAGATTACTATTCAAATCAGTCTTGCCTCATTAACAGCTCTAGCCTTTACAAAGATAGTAACTTTTTTATTATTATTGATTTCAGAGAGAGGAAGGGAGAGGGAGAGAGAGATAGAAACATTCATGATAAGAAAGATGCATTGATCGGCTGCCTCCAGCATGCCCCTGGGTGGGGATCGAGCCCACAAAATGGCCCTGTGCCCTGATCGAGAATCCAACCACAAATTTCTGGATCCTAGGTCTATGCTCAACCACTGAGCCATGCCCGCTGGGCAAAGATAGTAACTTTCAGACTGCACATTATCTCTATATATAATACAGAGGAGGGCAAAAGTGGGTTTAAAGTAGTGAGGATGCGAAACATAGTTTATTCTTTTATTATTTATTTTTGTTTTCTTTCCCATACACTTGATAGTAAGCCTACTTTTGCCCCGCCTCGGTATATAACGTTATAATTAAAATTTTACACATATTACATATTTTTTAGTAACTATCAGAACGAAGAGTACTATCAGGCTCAGTGATACTGGCTCAGCTACCAAGCAAGTTTCCCTCAGGTTTAGAGTCTTCAAAGAGATCTTTTAGTCCTCCACCAACTCCCTGAGGTTTCAGTACCAGGTTGGCCGACTTTCTCCTCAGGAATTCTAGTCTTAGATCCATGGGACTTATTCCAATGTCGTACATTCCAATAATCCCATTTCTTCCCTTGATCCCCAGTCCTACAAGCAATAGTTACATCTACTTGTTAATAACTCATGACTATCTCTGAAGTGTTGTTGCATTTTATGACAGATCTCAACTGACAGATCATTATCTTAGTATTATAGAGGACACAGAAGGGAGTCTGACATCAGAAGCTTTTAACTTTTTTCACACCACTGCTTGGAACACCTTGTGGACATGACATACTCTTAGACAGAATTTCCTCAAAATCTGGAAAGACAGAAAATAACACTTGCCACTAGATTCATTTGTACATTTAAAAAATTTTTCTTTATTGTTGAAAGTATTGCAGATGTCCCCTTTTTTCACTCACTGACTTCCTCCGCCCAGCTCCGACCCCTCCCCAAGCCTTCACCACACTATTGTCCATGTTCATGGGTTATGCATATATACATATGTTTTTCACTTAACCTTTTCCCCCACCCACCCTCCGCTTCCCCCGGAAATACTTCACAGTGTTGCATGCCTCAGTGTCCCTGGATCTATTTCACTCATGATTTTATTTTGTTCATTAGGTTCCACATATACGTGAGATCATATGATACTTGTCTTTCTCTGCCTGGCTTATTTCACTTAGCATACTACTCTCCACGTTCCTCCATGCTGTCTCAAAGGGTAAGAGATCCTTCTTTTCTACAGCTGCATAGTATTTTATGGTGTCAATGTCCACACCTTTTTTATCTATTCATCTACTGATGGGCAATTGGGCTGTTTCCAGATCTTAGCCATTGTAAACAGCGCTTCTGTGATCATAGGGGTGTGTATATTCTTTCTGATTGGTTTCTCTGGCTTCTTATGATATATTCTTAGAAGTGGGATCACTGGGTCAAATGGCAGTTTCGTTTTTAATTTTTTGAGGAAACTCCACACTGTTTTCCATAGTGTTTGTACTAGAGTGCATTCCCACAAGCAGCACAATAGAGTTTTTCTCTCCACATCCTCGCCAGCACTTGTACTTTGT